ATATATAATATACAGATTATAAGTATAAGTAATTACCTTATTAGTACCCAGTTTCCTTAATCTCTCTTCTGAGATTTCAGGAATAATCTACTCTATTTATACACCAAGTTTTGCAACACTATACATATACACTAAGTATATGTAGATGTGATCTCTTACAAAAATCAACCGGTGGTTTCGTGGTCTAGTTGGTTATGGCATCTGCTTAACACGCAGAACGTCCCCAGTTCGATCCTGGGCGAAATCATTTGTTTTCTTTTTTTCCCCAACGTAGAATGCCTAACCATATGACAGTCCGAAAATCTGGGCTCAAAACGATGATACCGTATCCAAGACTTTTAAACATGAGATTCCTTTTTCAATTGGGGCTCAGACGCCAAATTAGGTAGGCTAAAGCCGTTCAAAGAAGTCATTTGAGCCCCAAACTTTAATATTATTATTGTAGATTACGGGAAAAGAAGCTAAAAGCCGCATAAGTATTAAAGTTTTTATATGACAGTCTGAGCCCAATGAAAGTTAGAGCATGTTCTATTGGCTAGCTATCTGTTATAGATATGGGTTCAGAATAAAGTTAAAAGTCATACATGACGTGATACGCTAATTTAAAGAAATCCAAAGCAATATGCCAGATCTAAAATCACCCTGTTAAGAGCGTAATTATTATGTAACATCCTTGCCTCATCGCTAAGTAAATTTTCCGCTAAGCAACAGCGAAAATCAATTTCCCGAACCGAAAGAATAAAAAAATACATAAACAGAATAAAATTACTTATTCTTATTGAACAATCGTTAGTGAAAATATTATTAGAAAATAATCAGACATTCTTGATAAGAGAAACATTATTTATAAGCTTATATAATATATTCATAAGAAGATATCAGCTGTATTAATAAGTTAAGAATAAAATTTTTTTTAGAATATCATTTTATGTATTAAAGCCTGATAATCAAAGATATTTAGATACAGCTTTAAGCATTATTTTGAATAGACATATTTCTACTAAGAATTCGTAGAATTGAAGAAAATATGTGGTTGAGAAAAGAGAAGGAAGATGCAGACATGGCGGAGACGTCGAAAGGTGGAAAAATTGATACTTTTGGTGGAGAAGGGGCATCGACCAGCAACAGTGTTATTTCCAAAAGTTTATCGACTGGTGGTGCTGACGGAGAGGAGAAAAAATTCGACGAAAAGAAGGTGTATCCAAAAGGACATATCCAAAGAAAATTAGAAAGTCGTCATGTTCAGTTGATTGCGATCGGGGGTTCGATTGGTACCGGTCTTTTTGTGACGATTGGTACCACTGGTTTAGTGAAAGCTGGACCTTTGGGATTGTTATTGGCGTACACATTTTGGACTGTTATTATTTTGTTGTTGACCACCTCTATTGGTGAGATGGTGTCGTTCTTGCCAGTGCCAGCTCCATTTATTACTATGGCTGGTAGATGTGTTGACGAGTCATTTGAATGTGCCGTCGGCTGGAATTTCTTCTTGATGCAAGCTTTATACATTCCTTTTGAGATTACTGCTGTGAATGGTATGATTCATTTTTGGAGAAGTGACTATTCACCAGCCATTACGTTGTGTATCCAAATTTTTATCTATGGCTGTATTAATGTTTTTGCAGTTAGACTTTACGGTGAAGCAGAATTTTGGCTATCTATTTCGAAATTAATTTTATGTATTGGGTTATTATTCTTTACACTTGTTACCATGTGCGGTGGTAACCCACAACATGATGCATTTGGTTTCAGAAACTGGCATGTCGAAGGGGGCCCAATGGGTGAACAGATAACTACAGGAGCGTTAGGTAAATTCCAAGGATTCTTAGCCGGTTTGATTAGTGCATGTTTTACCGTCGTTGGTCCAGAGTATATGTCTATGGTTTCAGCGGAAGCAAAGAACCCCAGGAAAACTATGCCTACTGCTTTCAAGACAGTTTTGTATAGATTGGCATTATTCTATATCGGTGGTGCATTGAGTGTGACTGTTTTGATTAGTTACAAGGATCCAAACTATCTTGAATTGACCTCGGACACTTCGAATGCCGCTTCTTCTCCTTATGTTGTGGCAATGCAGAATTTGAAAATTGATGTCTTACCCCATATTGTGAATGCTGTTGTATTGACTTCAGCATTTTCAGCGGGTAATTCGTATACTTACTGCTCTTCAAGAGCTTTATATGCATTAGCCCAAAGAAAATTTGCCCCTAAATTCTTTACTTATTGTACTAAAAATGGAGTACCAATTTACTGTGTTATTGTTGCCATATGTTTTTCAATGTTATCATTAATGCAATTAAGTGAAGGAAGTGCTAAAGCTTTAAATTATATGGTTAGTTTATGTACAGGTTCCCAGTTATTGAATTATGGGTTTATGACAATCACCTATATGTGTTTCTACAGAGCTGTTAAGGTTCAAGGTTTGGATAGAAGAACGTTCCCATATAGGGCATGGTTCCAGCCTTATTCCATTTGTATTGCAGCATTTTTCATTTGGTGTATGATTGGTATTTTAGGATATACTGTTTTTATTCCTGGCCATTGGGAAGTTGACTCATTCTTGTTTAACTACGTTATGATTTTCGTCAGTGCCGCTATTTACATTTTCTGGAAACTTTTGAAGAGAACTCCATTCGTTAAGCCTGAAGATGCTGACATTTTTACAGGTATTGAAGAAGTTGAAGAACATGAATATGAGTATTACGCCAAATTAGAGGGTGAAGGTAAGCAAAAACAAAACAAATTCAAGAGTATGCTTCACTGGATTTTTTAAGTCATATTATTTACTTAAAGTATACTGTACTGCCTTTAATTCGTGTATTATTTTCAAGGCTCTTGGCTCCTTATTATTATCATTAGTTACTTATTATATTCTCTGAAGTTAAATTTTACATTCAAATTCATAAATACTATTTTATTTTTAAATCATATATGCAAATCTATAATTCATTTTACTAATTGACCCACTCCCAAGTAATATCGATTCTTCCTAAACCTTGGTCAGCAATCTTTGAAAATGCACTAGGTGAAAAATCTAAGTCGTTTTCAGCGCATCCCTCGCAAGAGTCAACTACGGTGACTTCAACCGATTTACCTTCATAGGATGCCTTTATTTTCTTGCCACACAAAGAATTGTCATTCGAGTTACCATTAACTTGGTTGTTTTCGTATAATATATGGGAAACAGCGACGATATAGTCAGTGTCTTGGCTGGTTTTTCCACAGGCACCTAATCCAGTGGAGTAAAAGGTTCCTTCACCGGAGTGATCTCCTGAGGATGGCTGCGAAGTTCCAGTAGAGGTAGAGCTAGTCGATGTTTCAGTAGCTGGAGAAGGACTAGTAGCGGCGTCAGTATTGGCAGCAACTTGGCTAACGGTTTGTGCATCAGTGGCGGCCAAAGAAGCAGAAGTAGTAAGTTCTTTGGCATTGTTAGCTAAATTGGCACCTTCTGTCTCCGAAGGTTCATTTGAAGACGAGGTGACTCTGGCTTCGGTATCTTCAGCAACGGCAACGGAAGTAGGCTCACCGTTTATGATAGTTGATTGAATGGTAGTGTAATGAGTAACAAATACAGTATGAACCTCAGGAACTGGTTGACAGGAAACCAAGTACGAGTTCAACAAAGTAAATAAGATAGTAGATGAAAACTTCATGTTTATGATTATATGTTAAGGAAAGACTTAAGTAAGTTTGAAACACGGATAGTATGTTCAACAATAAAGGAATGTATGTTCAACAAGCCAAAAGGAATGTATTTTTAACAGATGTAAAGGATTGTAAGTGTTTATAGAGTTTAAATCATTAAGATGGAGAGATATGATTGCATTTATATACTCATGCTGAGATTCTAGATCATATACGGTAGTAGGCTAGTTTCTACCCCTTTGTTATAAAAAAATAAAAAATTGTTCGAATATTTCCTTTTTTGATCTATAATATTGGTTTGGTACCTGAAACATGTTGATCCGATGCGTTAAGGATGCTCGAAAGGTGTTAATTGTAGTCTACAACGTATTGGTTTGCAAACTAAACGCGCTTTTGAAACAATCGCGTAACGAATTTTGAAGTACCTTACACGTTACAAAGAGGCGTATAAAATGTAAGTAATACTATTAATTCAAAATGGTAAAATATATACGTGGTATATCTATTTTCATACTTACATAAAAAACATAGATAGTTTGTAGATCTAGAATTGTTTACTAAATGTATTTCCTTGGCTTCAATTCTAAATCTAAATGCTAGTAGATCATACAATGCAAACTTGTAGTCACTTATGCTCAATGCTGACGATATGAACATCAATCAATACATTTATAGGGAAAAATATCTTCTAGTTGGCAGAAAAGCCATTTGCTCTGAAAGCTTGTTAACCCTATGGCTTTCGCTCTTAATCTCATGTTTCTATCATCAGTGATTAGAATACAATAATTAAATGCTTTAGATGCGGTTGTGTCCAACACAACCGTTTCGATGGATGGACCGTTCACAGTCAGATTTAAACCTTTCATTAGTTTCTTGCTCATTTCATCATGCTTATTGACTGAAATTAATATGGTTTCTTCAACATTTGTTCTCCAGTTAGAATTATTCTCAAATTCTGTAGTTTCGTTAATATCCGAAGCAACAGAGCCGTCGAATCTTAATGGCAAAATTTCTCCAGTGAAGTACAATTCTCTGATAATAATAACTGACCTAGTTGCTGCATCGGCAATTGTCGCTTCCGCAGATTTGCGTAGAGACCTCAATTCCTGAAAGACGATTAATGGAATCAGAACTTTTAAAACACTATTCCGAACACATTTAAATACTCTCCCGCAATGTTTTAACCAAATATTCGTGTCTAATGTAATGTATGTGAGGTTACTATCTATACCATCTCCAAGATCACCTTCGACTGATAATCTGCCACCTCTGGTTGGTAACCTTTCAGAATTATTCATGAAAATCTCATTATACAAGTCATCACCCACATTCATTTGCCTTGCATGTTGGAAGACCTGGTCATCTAGTTGCTGATATCGATTTAAATTCGAATCATAATCTATTTGAGAATCATTAAATTTAGAATTCCCATAATTCTCCAGGTCATTTTCATTGTCAATATCATCATAATGTAATTGATGGCTGACTGCATCACCCGAGGAATTCAGTTCCGATAGATTAAACCAAAGATCATCTCTTTCTAATGCACTAATATTTTCGAAGGTTGAACTATTCACCAAATTTTCTGGACTGATTTGTTGTAAGAAATTATTCTGAACGAAACGCTTGTCACTTAATAAAAATTCCTCAATGTAAGCATACGCACCCGATTCTCGTGTGGATGAATCGAAAACATCAACATTCAAGTAGATTTCCTCGTCGAACTTGAATCCATCGTCGGATCTAATTAGTCCAAAATCATAATTATCTGCGATGAAGCGACCAAGTAAAAGAATACGGACGATTCTTTCATCATTATCAAATTCCAGTTGCAGTCTTGTCTTTTGCTCATAATTATGGATCAGATCGATTACAGGGGACGTTCCGCAAATTGGTAAATCAAACAAATTATAATTCTGAACTCCTGCCAGGCTTATATCGTTATAATCATTTTTTGTCGATATGAAATCAAACCACACAGTCCCCCAACATTTCCACACTTCTGGTAAAAATTCATTGTTGTTAAAATAGTCCACATAATTTGGATGATTTAGAAGGTAAAAACGACACAACTCATTTAATTTAGAATTATTCTTCGTAACTGAAAGTAATGAATTGAGATAATTGAGAATCGATTCCCATGGGAATAATTTACGGAATACCCACATAAACATAGGTTTTGAATTCGGAAACTTATTCGTTGCTTCGCCAATAGAAATTAAAAAGTACAACCATACTAGAACATGACATGTCGATGTTTGTTTCGGTCCTATTAAGTAATGGTTCAATATACGAACAGATAATTCAAGGACCGACTTGTTTATAAACTTTAAACAGTAGAACCAATTATCTGCCGATAGGTCAGATGCAGTGATAGTTTGACCGTCAACGCCACTCGAAATAGCGGCTGCATTAATTGACTCATCAATATGAGATTGCGATCCCCTCGATTTCCTTTTCCGGTCCTTTTTATCCTTTCTTTCTTTCAAAACTTCTGGTAACTGAAATATTTTAGCAAAAGGATTTTTGGCATCACCAAATCCTATTAAATGATTAATATTCGCAATTGCAAATAAGGAGCCCTTATTAAACCAAAAATTCATTTTTTCAACTGAATTTGTAGCTCCAGCTTGCTGTTGTTGTTGCAAATAGTACGGATGGTGAGGATCATTCATTGAAGTCGTTCCATGAGGAGTATATATTTCTCCAGTAAAAAAATTATATCCATTAGAATCAGATCCAAATGTTAAACCATAGCGGGTTACTAAGTCGATGCCATACTGTAATTGTGTATCATGAATATTATCTGCATTACCCGATATATTCTCCGAATTACTATAGTTTGTATGAATACTTAATAAAACTTTATGAATTTTGATGAAGTCAATAGTAGGTAATTCCAATAATGATAGAATATTTCTTTGCGTACAAATATTCTCCACGACTAACCTAAGGTATTGTTGAGTTGGAACAAATGGATCACGACATACTACCGACTTACCAATATTTACCAATGCATCTAAATTATCTTGTTGAACTGTACACATATGATAATATATTTTGCCGTGTCCATATAATGTCTTCATCGCAACAGAATACCAGTATTCAGCACTGATTTTCCAATCAATAAATCTAGAGGAATACAATGCTATCGCCATTCGTGATAAATCCCCCAACTTTTCGGACCACCATCCCTCCATTTCTAATACCGGGTCAGTTAAGTTTGAAATAATATTAAAGCAATACGCTATAAAGCACAGACAAATCTCATGGTCTTGGAAAATGCTCATGATATTCTTTAATACTTCTAAAAATCCAACAATACCGTAAACCCACATGCGTCTTGGAATCTTATATAAATCGACTATATTCTTACCAGTTTTGAACTGTGTCTGATTAGAGGTTGGCTTTAACGCAGTAACCAAAAAATCATAATAATTATCTAATAATGTTATATTATGATGATAAACAGTCCAAAGATCATTCAGTAATTCGGATGCTTTAGATGATGATGACACAGACGATGATGAATTAACCGAAGATGACAATTGTGGATTAACCATGGGAGAATCACGATAACTTTGTATACTACTACTTGCCGTAGTATTTATTTTAATAGATATCTCTATGCAATTCTTCTGAACCACTTCTTCGAAATTTACGATATTCTTGTACGTATCTTTGAGCTTTGAGGCCAACTGTTGTTCTTCATCAGACATCGTACGTTGAAAATGCTGCTGATGATTTTGTTGCTGTTCTGGCGGCGAAACTTCATGGAGAGTTTCTTGTTGTGAAGACTGCTGCCCTTGTGTTATCGGATTCATCAGTGAGGACATTTCCTTGCTTCCAGACGAAAAGTCTGATGATTGCATATGCTCTGTATGTGCCTGAAGAAGCCGAGCTTGTGATTTATGTTGCTGATTTTGATCTAATGCATTTGAATCAGACAGATCAGAATTATTGTTAGCAGAAATACTCGACATAGGGTTAATATTTGGGCTTGACGGAACATCATATGCCGAAGGAGTCGGTGTTTTCATTGTCCCTGTAGTCACTGGATGTCCATTATATTGGCCTTTTTGGTGCTGCATCAAACTTCTTCTCACATTATTACGAATCATTGGATTATTACTAAGTCTCTGCGATGAAACACCGGGCGCATTAACACTCCCTGATGTTGTATTATTATTTATGGATGATTGTGGGAAGTTGAAATCTTGTGTGTTTTGTGTAGGCATGGACATCTGTAGAGGGTTTGATGTCCTTTTATTCGAATTATTTGTCACGTAATTTGACAAGCTGTTTTGCCGTTTTTGTTGTTGTGACGAAGGATTGGAAGGCTCGCCTTGGTACGAGTTAACCATAGGATTCCTATTAAGTTCTGCCACCAGATCAGGGATATAGTTGAGGTGTTTATTATTCATAATAAATAAACCTGCTGGGGAGATACGAATTTGAATGGGAACTAATAATTTTGCCTTGATCTGAAGTCAAATTGATTAAGCACTTCTACGTATCAGTTTCTGTATGGAAAATATTGACCCGCGGACGACTTCAACTGGCTCTTACAAAAATACCATGATCTCGACTAAACGATAGCAAACTACATATATGAGCTAAAGTCATGTATTACGAAGGGAATTGTACAAACACCGAGGCAATAGTATAGGTTTATCGTTTATTCTGTGGAAAAATAAATGAAATAGTATGGGGTGATCCATGGGATAGTGGATCGGATTAACGAATTTATCAATTACACAATCCTCAGAACAGAGAGTATGTAGTATATAACCCTCGGCAAGGTCATGGACATTGACCATTCGATCATTCAGATGATAAAAACCACCGAATGACGCATAATTAATTGTAGATTACCAGCGAAAGCCCTAATCCTATATAAAATTTGAATCGTCCCTGGACACTTAAATCTTTCCGGTATCTTTTATTGTGATAGCACCCATACAGTGGTCCTGATCATCCACGTTGCAGACTATACGATCGGACTTGTACATATCTCTGACGAAACTAAATCTCAATTTCTACATTTAAATGCTCTACTTGCATGAATTCTACACTATCCCATCTTTGACTTCGGGTCCATGGTCTCATTTCTCAGCCTCGACATTCAATCTTAACGTATGTCCGGCCGTTCACCACACCATGTCCTTATCAGCCCTGGAATATCTTTCATTTCTAAAACGTAAGATTTTTATTGACAAAGCTAAATATTTACTCATGAATAACGTATAGCCTGACTGTCGACTGCCATACCGACTTTTAAACCACCACAATCATTTCTCTTTTTATAATCTCTGGCCATTTAAAACCGTACGATACGCATCCAACCAACTCGACAAACATACAGTAATACAGTAATAAACCATATAATCTATTTCAACTTCTTCTTTGGTCTTAATTGGTTAGTGTGTCCACACTTTCTCTTACGACAGTTGGTAGCTCTTGGTGGTAATCTAGCGTAACATTTACGGCAGATAGATTTCTCACAGTTGTACTTGGAAGCTAAAGCCTTTAAGGATGGTTCAATCATCTTTATTAGCGATTAATGTGATATCTTAACTTTAACGTATAATCGTATCTTTTGATTACAAGATTAATGAAAAATTTTGTTTTCCAAGCACTCTGAGTAGAACGACTCCTCGGGATTTTTTTGGTTACACAAAAAAGGTGACCGACAATTTGTTCCTTCTTCGGATTATATAAGCACCGGGGCCAAAGCCCTTGTACCAGGTGATTGTTGAGACAGCGGACCAAGTTCTAGTGCGACTTATGGCATTATGTCGCAACTATGTCGTGTAGTCCAATGACGACATTGTCTGATTCATTTCGCACATGATCGCCAGATGTCGCTAATTGTCACTAAATGTCGTACAATAATACTCGGCTGGCTGAAATGATACCTAATTGACTGCTTGTAGTCTGGTAGGATAATAGTATAATTACACACATCAATTATATTTTGCAAGTCATTTGCTAACTCGGAGAGACTAGAGCGAATCGCTATACCTGGATCGAGATACAGTTTCTTGTTAGCATGAGTGACAATCATAAGGAAGTGCAAGAGCTGACGTCTGGAGATGACGACCAAACTAATCCACAGCAACAAACAAATGAAACAGAAGAAAAGGTTGAAGGAGATGTGACTACTGTAGACGAAAGAGAGGACAGAGATGTTTCCGGAGAAATAGACGAGGGAACTAACTTTGGCAATTTGGGGGCCGGCGGGTATTCAGAGTTTGATACAAGAAACATGGAGTGGGGGCCGCTTGACCAGGAAGACGGCGATATTCCGCAGGTAAACCTAACTAACGAGAATCAAGAAAATGAGACTCCATTGGTTCCTGGATTGGAGTTGGAACAACAAGACCAGCAGCAAGGAAATCAGAACCAAGAAAGTCAGCAGACTCAGGATCAGCCACAAGAAAACCAAGAGCAGCAAGATTACGACCAAAAAGATTCTAGTCTACAACAAGAACAGCACCAAGACTATCAGGACCAGGACCAAGAGAATGAGGACGATATAAATACCTCGATTTTACACCCACCCCAACCTAATCAGAGCTTCACCACCCCGCTGAAATCATTGCCACCTTTGAAAGATATCGAACCGATAACAACTCCAAAAGCCTTCAGTGTTGCAAAAGATACGGATGCTGATGTCCCAAACGTATCGAGTTCTCCGCTTATTACCACAAAGAATACACAGATGGATTTAGTTCAAAATGGCGACAATCATCCAAATTCCAACGACAAATATCAAGGGGACGATTACGATACGGAAAAATCTGTCGCTTGTGCATTCTTGGGAGTTAGTCAACAGGATTTGAATTCGTTTAGTGTAGATGTAATTAACAAGTTGCATAAAAGATCCATGGAACTCCAAGGGTTGAAATCAGATAATGAGTTCTTAAAGATAAACCAAGAACAAGCCATACTGATACAAAATAAGAAGTCTAAATTGTTGAATCTGAAACTAAGTAAACTAGATAAACTGAATACGGAATTGAGGCAAGAACGAGATGCATTATCTAATGAAAAAGAAATACATATTAAAACTATCGGTGAATTAAAGGATGAAAATTCAACGATAATCAATAAATTGTCCCAAATTGAACATCAATCGAAAAAGTATGATTCGAAGTATTCAGAACAAATTGGTGAAAGAGATCAAGAAATTTTAAAGTTGAATGATTCGCTAAATAAATTAACTAAAACAAACATAGAACAGAACCAAAAGATAAATGAGATTATTAAGGAGCTTAACGATACCAGAAATGAAAAATTCACCTTGAAACTAGAAAATAGTAAGATATCCAATGAAATATCGTACATTAAGAATCAGAGAATGTGGTATGAAGAAGAATTAAAATCTGTTCAGCAAAGATTCACTGATTTAATTAAAAAACATGAATCAGAGTTTTTAATGAGGTCTAATAAGTTGTCTAGTTTGGCGACTAAAAACGAAGCTTTAGAGCGTTTGAATAAATCACAGGCCGACCATATTAATGGATTGCAATATGATTTAGAGAAAGAAATTTCAAAGGCATCGTCCTTAGATTCCAAATTTGAAATTGAAAAAATCAAGCTAGGTAAAGAGTTGAAGAATAAGGAAGAGTTATTAGAACTAACACAAGTTCAATCATCTCAGAGAAATGAAAGAATAGAACAGCTAGAATCATACATTGAAGAAATAAAGAATAGGTTAGGTGAATCTATTAATTTGTTGGAAGCTGATTTATCTAAGAAGAATGAAACTATCATTGTTTTAGAAGAGAAGTTAAGAAGAACCGAAGAAGTTTTAGACAAAGAATTGCACAAGGAAACTGATTTACCGAAATTATCTGTATCCGCAGAAATGATTGCATCGACAAAAACAGATGGCATATCTTTATCGTCGTTGTATTCAGAATACAACCATTTGAAAAAACAATTAGTATTGGAACGATCGCAGAAAGAAAGATTAGCCAACCAATTAGAATCATTTGTAGCAGAATTGGAGTCTAAAAAACCTACAATTGCAAATTATTCTGATCAGATCAAGTTTTATGAGAACTCACTTCAGGAAATGATAAGTAAAGTTGAATCAATCAGACTAGAAAAATTAGAAGGAGAGAAAGAGTATAATAAATTGAAATCAAGACTTTCTGAATACAATAATGATTTAGTGTCGATGAAAAAGTTATGCAGAGATTTAGGAAAACAATTATGTTATTATCTTATACATTCAAAGATCAGGGATAGTAACGAAGATCCACTTACCTTGACAGAGAGAAAAGCTATTGAAAATATTTTAGAAAGAAGTGGTAATAATGACAGTGTAAAAGAAAGCGATACTGATCAATTGATTTCTGATAGGTTGGTGGGTTTTACGAACATTATAGAACTTCAACAGAAGAATGAAGGTCTTCTCACTGTTGTAAGACAATTAGGTAAGAAACTAGAAAACAACGATGATGAGTTCAACGGTGGTTTAGAATCTGCGGCAATTGATGAAGCGAAAGATGCAATCTTAACGTTAGAGAATGAACTTGATAGTGTTCATGTTAAATTAGAAACCGTATCCAAAGAAAGAGATGTGCTCAAATCAATGGTTGATTCTACTAAGAATGGGTCGAGGGGCGAATTTAAATTTTTGACTGAGGCTAATAGTGATCTCAAATCTAAATTAAATGAAACTGAGAAGGTATTGAAAGAGCTACAATTGCAATCAACTATTTCACTCAAAGATTTTAACGAGAAGTTGAGAGCCGTTACTAGTAGCAAGAACGAATTAACCCTAAATTTGTCCTCGATTAAGCATTCGGCAGAATTGGCTGAAGCAAGATTTTCGAATGCACATAAATCTTTAGAAAATGCTCGGGAGGAAATCAATCAATACAAAAAGGACATTGAATTCTGGAAGAATCAAACATCGAAGCAAGAATCTTCACTTATTTGTAAATCTAATGAATTAAAAGATGTTGAGAATACTCTAAATGAAGAGCGAATTACTATCAACAATTTGAAGACCGAAAGAGAAATATGGAACCTGTATCAAAAAACAATGAATGATGATATTGTGCAACTTAGATCTGACAAGTCTCACCTTAATGAGTTCGTTGTAAATTTACAATCATTATTAAAGGAAAGGGAATCATCAAGTAAGGAATTGTCCATGAGGCTTACACAATCAATTGAAAACTATCAAGCTTTACAAGACAGACTTTCTGAAAAAGAAGAAAGAATTTCGATTTTATCGAATCAATCAGAATTAGCATTAAGAGCGCAGAATTCCAAGTTGGAACAGATTAACGAGCTTAACCTGTTAGTGCGAGATTATAAGAGCAGAATAGCTGAAAAGAATTCCTTGGTTGAGATTTTAAGTCAAAAAGTCCAAGAATTACAGGATTCACAGTCCATATCAAGTACCCTTGAGGGATTCAAAAATTCGCCTGTTGAAATTGATAAACCTAATCAATTAAGTCAAAATTATGAAAGAGAATTGGAGAGGGCTCGGGATGATTTACGTATAGCTGAGAGTCAAGTCTCTGAATTTTCGGATTTAGCTAAAGCCGCTGAGCTTGCTTTAACCAACTCGACTAATACATTTGAAAATTATAAAACTGAGAGTGAAAGTAAACTTGATGGCCTATTGAAAGAGAAGAAATCATTGAAGTCAGAATTGAGGGATTTGTCTGATTTGTTCGATCAATCTAAGCAAGAAGCAATTGATATTGAAAAGAAATATAGTAACGAAGTCGAACAACTTAAATTGAAGATCGACGAATCAATAATGAAGGCTAATGCGTATGACGATTTGAAAAAGGATTATGAACTGAAATTTGAATCTGTGACGAAAGACATGGAGAGCCAATCAAAGATCTCTGATGAAAATCAAAAGAAATATCATGAAGAATTACAGAGGAATACTGAGTTAACAAATGAGATGGATAAGTTGAAGAGCCAATGTAATAATCTTGAAACAAGCATTGGCCAATTAACAACCAAATTGAATTCGACAAAACTTCTCTTAGATAAGAAAGATGAATCAGTAGAAGAAGAAAAGCAAAATATTCAAGACGAGCTTGTTTCATCTAGAATTAAAGTGAAGGATTTGCAGGATCAAAATAATGTCTTATTAAATCAGTTGGAATTATCGAAATTGGCTTACACTTCGGACGTATCAGAAGCATCTTCTAAGGATGACTTGAGAGAAGTAGTCTCATATTTACGCCGTGAGAAGGATTCAGCAGAAGCAAAATTGACATCTTATTCTGAGGACCAACGAAGACTAGAACAACGTTTGAATCAAGTTACTACAGAATTGGAAGCAACAAAATCTGAATTATCTAAATCACAGTCCAATATAAATGTAACTGATGGAAATAATAAAGAGCATGATCGTTTATTAGATCAATTACAGCAATTGAATATTTTACGAGAAAGTAACACCACATTGCGTAATGAAAATTCTGTTAATATCCAACGTATTTCCGATCTAGAAAGTGAATTGCAATCTGTGACATCAAAGTTTGAACAATTAGAAAAGAAGGTTTCCGAGCTATCAATGCAAAATGAAGTAAAAGAACAAACAATAAGGTTAATTAAGGAAGAAAATGAAAATAATAGGATGCAGCTAGAATCTAATGGGGGCCGTGACGTTGCAGAATCTGACTTAGAAGATATTAAGGCTATGAAGCAAAGGTTTGCAAATCTCAAAAATGAATTCCAAAATAAATTACTGGCTCATAGAAGTAAGACTAAGGAATTAGAAAAAACAGTGGACTCTTTAAGAGTAGAATTAGCGAATACTAAGCAACACTTACTGGATACTGAGACTAATTATAACCAAGAATTAAAAAATGCCAGGTCTAACTCCGAAGGTCTTAAGAATGAATTTGTGCAGAACGAAAAAATGAATAAAGCTTCCAAAGAAATAGCGATTGCCCACGAGAGGTATGATGTACTAAAGAAGGAGTCCGAAGATAAAATCAAGTCTCTATTTAACGAAAAGAAGTCGTTAGAAAGTGAATTGCAAACGTTGAAAGCAAAAATTGATAGTTTAGACTCAGAACATTCGAATAAAAAGTTTGAAGAAAAATTGAGTATTTTGAAAGCTCAATTTGAAAGCGAAAAGACTGAATTGAAAAAGACCATCGAGAACGAATTTGATGTAAAGTTAAAGCAAGAGTTAGCTAAAGTTGACAGCGATTCGCTTGAAAACCAGGCTAAACCTGATAAAGAAGATCAAAATAATAAAAAATTGGAGGCAGCAATTAAGGAAAAGAACGAGATATTAGAGAAACGCTTCCAGGAAAAGACATCACAGTTGGAAGACGAATTAAAAGTAAAATTCGAACAGAAGTTGAAAGAAAAGGTTGATGAAGAAGTTTCGAGAAGAATTTCATCTGGTGAAACAGACGGAGATACGAATCTTGTTCGAAAAGAATTAGTAAAACAACACGAAGGAGAAATTGCAAAGTTAAGAAACGATTTTGATGCTCAATTAAGTAAGGCTAAAGATGATGTTAAGAACGTAACCGAAAAGAAGTTTGAAATCAAATTAAGAATGTTAAACAAAAAATTAGATAAGTTAGAAGGAAAGAATTTAACGGACCAATCTGTTCTGTCTTCTACTAAAGCACCTGTTGATGAAACCAAACTCTCTGTGTCTTCTCTTCCAGCTACGCCTACTTTAGCTCAAGACTCTTCACAACCTCCAACAACCCAAGAACTGTCTAAGTTACCGTTAGGTCACCAATTCACAGAGTCTACTTTGACAGTACATCGCCCTACAATTGATAGAACTAATCTGTCAAACAAAGTGTTGCAAGCTCAGAAACCAAATGTAGAAAAACTTGGACAAAAGCGTCCCATGGTCAACAAAAGTCAAACCACAAATAAAAGAACAAAAGAGTAAATAATTTAAAATAAGTTGTATATTAGATATCACTCTGTGCTATAGTTACATTGTACGAATGTAGATTGCAATATATCATTTATTTAATATATGGTTAAAAAGCCTAAACTAGTTTACTTCATCTTGACCAGCAACTATATATAAGTCAAGCTTTATCCTTGATTGAGTGATTATCATCATCTTCGTTCGAAGCCTTTCTCACAAGCGCATTATCTTCGACATACTCTTGAGATGCCTTAGATTTTTCTAAATCATAATTAATTTCACCATCGTAGGCATTACCATGTCCGTCATCGCTGTATGTGATTTTATTAATTTCAGAGTAATCTGGACATAATTCTGCTCCCTTTCTTCCAATAAGATACCATGGTAAATTGAAGATTTCTTCCATACTTTCCAAAGAACGGCCAGAAACTTCTGGAATAAAGAACCACGCCCAGAACAAAGCGATAATCATAACACCGACAAAGAAGTAGAAAGCACCGTAGTTATCCATGGCAAGCAACATCTTAGGTAATGCCTTTGAATTACCATATTGATTAGCGAAATGTAAAACCATGATTGCAGACTGAGCGAACGAACGAATGTTCAATGGGAAAATTTCTGAACCTAATAAGTACTGAATTGAATTGAAACCCATAGTCCAACCTGCTCCTGACAAGAATAATGCAGCCATAGCTCCCTTTCCGGCTCTTTCTTTTGATCCAGTCAAATTGACATCATCATTGCCAGCTTCAGGAACAATTGTTAAAAATATAGCGAAATACAAAATCGAAAGCAATTGGATCATAATACCAATGTAGAGTGCCTTTCTTCTACCTAAGAAATCAATAATAAAGAACGCACTCAAATAAGCAGATACAAACTTGACAACACCTAAAATAGCAGTCCATTTCAACTTTTCAATTCCAACAGCTCCAACTAATGCAAAAAGTTCTGGAGAATATATCGTAATAGCGTTTGCACCGGACCATTGACCNAAAATCTGTGTCAATGAAGCAACAGCAAAAAATCTATATCTGATCGATTTAACGCAAACAATCTCTCTTATCATAGCGAATATAGTATTTCCTTGAGTAGCTTCGTTTTCAGCATGGATTTGTTCATTAATATCGGAGATTTCACCCAAAANATATGGNTGNTCTGTAGGTAAATTTCTTAACTTTGATAAATTCTTTGCTGCTTTATCTGGCTTATTAACCTTCAATAGCCATCTTGGACTTTCAACACAGAAAACGAACGATCCAATCAATATTAAGCCTGCTAATGGGATCTTAATAGAAGTAGGGACAATCCATTGCTGATTTGA